GGGGGGGAGGGGGTTCCTCTCCGGGGGAGCGTCGAGGTAACGCGGGCGTGGACCACCGTGGTTCCGGGCGGGTTCTGATGGTGAGGTGAGTGCTGGTCGGTCTGGCTTCGTGGATGCTAACAGCTGTGGAGATGGATGGATATTATTCCGAAGCGAGGTCGAATGGTTGGTCCCTCAAGCCGCGGTCGCTAGGCAGATCAGGCAAGGTCGGATTGAAGATGGACGAGTGTCTCGCGGGGCGCGAGAGCGGCGACCATGAACGGGGGATTGGGTGACAAACACGTTATCGAGACCACGTTAGCATTGAAGATGTGGTCGGTATGCGAGGCCATCCAAGGGGGTGTGGGTTGTTGAATTCGGGAGGAAGAAAAAGGGTAGGAGTAGATGTCGGAGGAAGCGAGAGGACGAGGGGGAAAAAAAGAGAGGGGCGCGCCTTGGGTTCAACGGGAAGACAGAGCAGACGGCGATGCAGCAATGCAGAGAGACAGTGGGAAGGAGGAGAGGGAGTCGGAGAGAGTGGAAAGGATGGGGTTGGGATTTTCCAATGTTTGGGCCCTGGAACGCTTGGGCAGGAGGCGGGCAGTTTTCAACCTCAGAGACCTTGCTGGAACCGTGAGTACCGTGTAGAACAGGTCTGCTGGCAGTGGCCGTGGGAGAGCGGTTTAGGGGTTTTTTTGGGGCTTAACGTTGGAAGCGTGAGTCTGTGAGAGAAGAGGCCTCGACGAGCACATCTCAGAATGAAAGGCGAATATCTGAGACTGCTTGTTGCCTGAGGCCAAACCCTGAAATCGTCAGAGGCAAAACTTGACAATCACTTAGACCTTGCGTGCTTGTTAAGGCTGCTCCCAGTGCCCTCAAAGAAGCTCGCCCAGCTAGATAATAAGTACCTTACCTTACCTTGAACTACCTATAGTAATGAACCTAGGTATCTTGTCGGGGAGTCAGTGGGGTCTAGCTGGCAATCGCGTCGTGGCACGTCCAGCTTACCTTATGACCTGATACTAGGATTTAGCTGCTCGCCGTCGCCACGACCCACGTACCTGGTGTTCTAACTTCGACTTGGGTACGTCGCATCTTTAATGGAACTACCGTACAGCCAACGCGCTCCATCAAACGTCTCGGTCAAAACGAGTGCGCTCCCGCATACCTTGGACGCGTCCGCCTTGCAACACTCGTGACGTGGGCAGCCTGAAAGAGACCATTATCCACCTAAGACATCGTTCCGCTTCCCGCTCCCCGTATACATCTAGGATCATCGTGTGTGTATCTTCTTCAACCTGCCCGTCACGCGCGACAACCATTTGCAGTGGCAGTTGGGCAAGCAGCGTGGGCACGGCGGGTGATGCAGGACGACTAACCAACGCAACTTGGCCCTGCGGTTCGATTGATGCAACTCCCCCTCCTTGAACCCACCTCCTTGCGACAATTGAACTTTAAACTAATAGCGAAGTGAACCAACGTAATTAGCTGCGGTAGTCTACGGTCCCTGCTCCCTCGTGCTCAAATGAAGACTCGGAAATTCAAATGCTTCCCCCAGATACCCGCTCACGAAGACGGGTTCTGCATCACAAACGTGCCACCTCATAGTCCAAGGGCAGAGGCACTCGTCGCCGTCATTCAACAATAAACCAAAGAATAAAATGTAGACTCTCGTCATTCTCAGGTCCCTCATTAACAAATCATTGAGTCGGGAAATGAAAGGCTAGCCATGGGCCTTGGCACGGACCTCCCCAGCACTACCCAAGGTATGATGATATCCAGGCATTGTAAGCTCAAGGTTTGCACGAATAATTATAATCTCAACAGGATTGAACATGATAACATTTCGGAGAAGAGATTGCAGCAAGGCAAGGGCAAATGAACTTTGGAGTTTGGCAGATGCACATCGGCCAGAAATTCTGGTGGAATTACTCAATTGCCGTGCACACTTGCTAAGGTAACTACTTCTGCTCCCACTCCCCCGTTCTCAACTTCCGTCATTCTCCATATTTCCCGAAATCGGCCGGCAATCCTGAGAGCCACGGAAGCCCAACGCCTGCTGTCTGCCATCGCCCAATGGTTTCCGTAGTCTTGTCATCAAATTTGAGGTACAGTTCCAGCCCGATTCTGACCGAGTCACCGCATATACGGCTTGCCCACAAGAAGAAAAAATCTTGAGAAAATCTTGGCTCTACATGTAACCGTGTGCTGGGAGGCGCAATACTGAGGTACTCTACTGCCGAGAAGTCCGCCCTCACCCTTCCACTAAGATACATCAATATTAATCACCAACTACCTTCGGACTCAGGTCCTCGTGTTGGCAGGGGCGGTTTTGGCGTGCATAACTCTATTTGATATCGCACAGCTCATGGTTCCGGCTTGGTCGCATTACTGGTAAGCTCCAACTTAATGCATGTAAGATAGGCACGATTTTGTGGAAGTTTGTTTTTGCGCAGTATTCACAATGATGAACCTGGCATCGCCTCATCTCCGCCAACAAGCAAGGAAACAAGACTGCGCGCTGTCAAACACCTTCCATCAACGAACAGTAAGCTTTTTGCGGTGCAAAAGAACCAATTGAAACATGGAGCTTGCGTTCGGGCGTAGCAAAGAGCGATATTGTTTAGCAAGATGCAATTTCACTCAGTCGTCTTCGGGGGGGAGTTCGTCGTCAATGTAGCGCACTAATGATACCCTCATTTCCGTCGTGTCGTGGCCTCGCAGAACGTCACTGATAAAGTGCGCCTCGACCTGCATCTGCACCATCTCAAGAGCTCCCCGCAACACGCCGCAGAAGATGTTGGAGTACCAGAGCTCATCTTGCGCTCGCTCGTCATCGGGCAGCTCGACAAAGTCTGCCAGAGGGTTTTCGTCAAACACAAGCGAGAACTGTTTGTTGTCTGTCGTCCAGTTGGTCACCTGCGGTGTGATGTTTAGAAATATCTTGAAGCCGACCTGAATTCGCAATGGTCAGCATGTAGTCTCAACACTTGATGAATCAAGGAGTCCGTACTCTTGCAATGACATCAGCGGTCTCGCGAAAGTTTGCGCATCTCTTCATTGTGTTCGACTTTGCCAAATAATCCTCAATGAGACGGAGGCCGATGTTATACCCCATCTTGTCCAACTGCTTGTTGACCTCCACATAGTCGCTGTCGTAGTCTTTGCACAACTGCGCAACGATTGTTCCGTATGTGAGAGTAACGAGCTCGGCGTTTACTTTGTCTATACGAGTTCTGCGACCAAGGTTGTCATGTCAGCCTTGTTCTTTTTAAGGCCTTCGCGTGCCACCAAACATACTTCCAGATTCTGCTGAACAGTTAGCTTCTGTCTACCCGCGCACGGGTTTGCCTGGAAAACGCACTCCTCGCCCAAGCGGGTTGCCTTGCTTGCGGCCATGCTTGTGAGAGAAGCCTGCCGAAATAGAGATGGAGGGAACTCCTGCCAGCCCCGGATGGAAAATACGGCAGGATAGGGGAAGCCTCGTGGAAGCGGCTGTGCTTTCGAATCGAAATCAAGTCACGTTGTTTACGTTGGGTGTCTTTTGTCGTTCACGTCGTACTAGCTGGGGCCGTCGCAGGTTTTCGAGACCGGAGAAAGTAGTAGTCGTAAGAGCCCTTGGCGTCGCTGGGGTCGTATAAACCGAACTTGAGCTTGAGATACTTGCAATTGAGATACTTGCAATGGACGGTGAGGTGGAAATTGGCCAAATGGAATCGCTGGGCGGCGCCGCATCCATGAGGATGGAGATAAGATAGCGTACCGGAAAGGGCGAAAGTTGAGGTACTTGCCTACCTACCTTACCTTAGCACTCGGTTGGATAAAAAAAATTGGCACACTGATGCAGCTATCTACTTCGTGCTCTACTTTATTTAATCTCCATTAAATCTAATCATGAATTATTAAGTCTTCAATCTACGTAATAAATAGTTTAATTTTGATTTTAATTTTTCTTTCTTCTTGTACTTTTGAAGAATTAATTTTCTATTTTGCTATCCTATGTTGAAGTTGATGATCGCTTGTATATGTGCCACCTCTTCCGACAACCGCGTGGTTAGGTACCTGCATGTATCTTAGGCATGATAATGCACCTTGGGTACGGATAAAGTAAGGTAAGACATCTTGATCTAGGTATGGTATGGAGTTATGGACAAATATGCACCAAAGGTGGAAGACCTCCTTAGTAGAGGTCCCACCTGCAGCTCGGGGATCGGCAGAAACAAGCTCCGTTCGCAACTCGGCCTCGCATGGGCCAATGATCTCAGCAGCACTAGATTTTCTTTGGCCAATAACAGGCTCATCCGACATTGCCAATACGACGCGACATAGCACGATAGACACCAGCACCGCCTCCTAAACAACACAACAACCCTGCGTCAAGCGAAACGCTTGCAAGCTGTGAGATAGGTACTCACTCAACAACCAGAATCATGTCTGCCGAGAAGAGACCGGCGGACGAGGAGCTGGGCTCAGGCCAGATGATCGTAAAGCGTCAGAATGTGGGATCGTCAACAGGAGCTTTGGCAAGGCTCAACGCCTCAGGGAAGAGCAGCGCGTTAGTACAGACGGTATGGCGGTAACTATTCATGACCAATTCGAAAATTACTGACGGTGTTAAATGGCAGACACCACGTACGAGTAACCTGCAGGCACCTGTCATGGAACTATCTGGTCACTCGGGCGAGATCTTTGCTGCGAAATTTGACCCGACGGGCAATTTCATCGCCTCAGGATCTATGGACAGAAACATTTGTTCGTCAATTCCTATTCTGAATAGATGGCGAAGTAAAATTGACTCGCGAACAGTGCTCTGGCGAACGTACGGCGATTGCGAAAATTACGGCATCCTCAACGGCCACCGCAGCGCAATTCTAGACCTACAGTGGTCCAGGGATTCGAAAATAGTCTTCTCCGCTTCGGCAGATACGCATCTGGCAAGTTGGGACCTCGAGAACGGAACCAGGATACGAAGGTACGTTGGCCACGAAGAAATTGTCAACGCCATCGACACCAGTAAACGGGGCGAGGATATGCTGGTCAGTGGTAGTGACGACGGCTCGATCGGTTTATGGGACCCGAGGTCAAAGAGTGCGGCAGACTACATCCAGACGGAGTTCCCTATCACGGCCATTGCAATGTCGGAAGCTGGAAATGAGGTCTACACGGGAGGCATCGATAATGATGTCAAGGTCTGGGACTTGCGCAAGAAATCGGTCGTGTACTCGATGCTCGGGCACCAGGATACGATTACTTCGCTCAGAGTCTCTCCAGATTCGCTATCTCTGCTTTCATATGGCATGGACTCCACGGCAAGGACATGGGACATTCGGCCATTCGCGCCAACCGAAAGAGCCATCAGAACGTTTGACGGTGCTTCTGTGGGCCTGGAGAAGAACCTCATCAAAGCTAGCTGGGATTCCGAAGGCAAGAAGGTGGCTGTCGGTTCAGGTGACGGCACTACGACTATTTGGTCTAGCGAGACTGGAAAGCTCATGTACAAGCTTCCGGGTCATAAGGGAACCGTCAACTGTGTCGAATTCGCGCCCGGAACGGAACCCATAGGTGAGCATTTCTCTCCTTCGCACTTCAGACGGCATTGGGCTAATCAAACACAATAGTACTTTCTGCATCGTCTGATCGGAATATGCTGCTTGGGGAGCTCCGGTGAAGGAATCCGCTCTAGTAACTTATTCCATACTAACATGCTTGCCAACGCCCACTGTGCGCTTTTCGATGCTGCAGCAAACAAATCATTGCCTGTGGGGTCTCAGTGCGACTCAGGCTGGCGCAGGTGGTCGAAAGACGCAACACGAGCACGGGCGTCGGCGATCCATAGATCATCGCAACACCCATGTGCCAAGAACATTTGGTCCTAGCGGCTCATGCCGAGTCTTAGGTGCCATCCGCAAAGGCACAACACACCGGCAGGGCAGCAGCAGGAGCGCACGCGGGACACAACCATGGGTGCCTGGTGTTATTGGTGGCAGACGCCTCAAAAGCATTGAAATAGATCAGAGAAGACAATTGCGGGCAGATTACCCCGGGCAACTGCCGCTTTGCACCCTAGAGAAATGTCGATGCTGGCCATTGGCTCTGTGCCACTGTCTGCTGCGCAGGGCCTATGTAGGTGGTCTGAGTAAGACTTTTTGTTGGCGAGTAACATGGCCTAGGAGCGCTCGTCCGGTGTGTTCGCTTTGTCTCATAGGGGTAACCTTGAGACAAGTTCACTTCGTGTATTCCACAAGAAACATAAATTTAGTATCGCAACTTCAATAAGGAGCGGTTTAGCTCGCAGAATCAAGGTCTGGTGGTAATGGTTGACTCTGGTTGACTCTGGTTACGGGTGAGTTAGGAGGTGTTTGCATGTAGCTGAACTGCCACGTTCCGGGCCTTCGCTTGACTTGCGGTACTGCGGCAACAGCCTGACAAGAACTGGCAGAGAATTGTCTCCAAGCAAGGCTGAGGTAATTCACGTAAGCTTCGTCACAAAGCCTACACCAGCTAAAGACACCCCACGGCCCGCTGTTTGAGCGAAGGATGTGGACCCTGTGTTTCCTGTTTTGATCATGTGCTGCGCGGGCGTGATTTGGAACTTCTCGGGATGTTGAACTCTATCGGCTTCTACGTAGAGGGGTTAGAAACGCAGCTCGGAGGTCGGAACATGGCGCCATCCGACGACCCCAAGGGCGATTCATGGAGTATAGAGGGTACAAATTGTTAGATGTTGTGACTTGGGATTGTGACTTTGGACGGTGAGGCGGGTGGACTCTGGCTCCGAGTGTTTGCGTGTCCCAGTTGCGTGTATCATTTTAATTGCATATCAGGTTGCAAGACCATCTCCAGCTGTCATACGAACGGCAGCTGAGGTAATCATGTTGGCCATGGTGTGATGTCCTCAAGTCTTTGCATGTGGAGGCACCTTAAGACGGCGTATGTCAGTATCAAGCGCAATTTCGTTGTCGCGAAGGCATGGCCGAGTCCGCACCTTATCCAGGCACAATCGACGGTTGCCCCCTTCTGCATAGTTTCTATACGGAGGTATCTGATTGCAAAGGGGGATTCAAGCCACCGCGACCCCCACGACTATAAAGTAGATAGATGCCAAGGTTCATGACGGGAATTGGACGATGACAACCATACACGGTATAAATCCAAGCGAGACGAATGATCTGCAAAGGGCACTACTTCGTGCCAAAGCTGAGGCGCGAAGGACTGCTATTGTTGCCGCCAATGCCACCTCATACTTTTTGTATACACTCGGATGCAACAAAGACGCAGAGATTTGACCTGGATAGGTAGTGTACAGACGTGGGATATATCCGTAGGCTGGAGAAGACTCTAACGCCAAATGCCAAACGCCAAACGCCAGCCCAAACCAAGGGCGGCCTGGGTTGGTGCCCCTGTCGATGGCTCCAATGGAAGAGCCCCTTTCCGCCCGCCAAATTTGCGCTAGTGCGGATATGGGCTGGTGCGCGTCGAAATACAATAATCCGAAACACGTTCTTTCTCCAGCCGACCCCCCTGGGAGGCTTTTCATTCGGCACGTTCCCAGGCACGCCAGGTCCCACGCTGCCAAGAGTTGTGACGGTGTCCGAGGTTAACTCATCCGCCCGCTACGATTGGTTCCCATGCGCCTGGAGGCAACCCCCTTGATTGCTGTGCAACACTTCAACTGTCAGAGAAGTCGTGCCCTCCCCGGGTCCCACGTCTCCAGACCACGCAGACATAAAACGTGTCGATACGGATACCTTATGGCATGTAGGTCTGCGAGGGATAGAGGCAGAGAGGCAGAGAGGCAGAGAGGGCTACCTACATAATCCTTGCTGATCTTGACCCGATTTCATTGCATACCTCTATTCTCCTGCTGAATCGCCCACACAGAGTCTGGGCCAAGCCGAGAATACCTTGCGGCTGTCGTAGGTAAGTAGGCAGGTATTAGTATCCGTATGCAAGGGTCTAAATGCAAACACACACAATGTTCTCGTCCTCGATGCCACAGACCCTGCGCGTTTCCTCCCCCATCCTCCTCTTCCTCGTTGGATCCTACCCTCATCCTGCCCTCTCAAACACCCCTATCCCGTCCCATCGTTACACTTCCAGGTTCTCCAGAGTCGCAGAGTCGCAGAATTCCAGGTACGCTGGGATGAGACTGGTGTGGTGTCTGCATGACCAGGTTCGCTGCTGCCTTTTCTCGTCCTGTCCCGTGGCACCGTACCGTACACTGAATCCCATACAACACCTTTCTATTTCAACCGTATGCTGCAGACGCCGTACTCGTTGGTTCAGTGCCTCCTCGCCTCTCAGATAGGCTTGGCTTGACCTTGCACACTCCATCCCTCACCCTCACCTGGTCTAGCCCTGCCTTGGACAGAACTGCTGGCTATAGAGTAAGTCGCCGGCGGACGACGAACAAGACGCTCGGAAACGGCGCCTATCACCTATTGCTTGGTTGCCGATGACCCAACACGCCTTGCTACCTTCTTGTGGTCCCCCCTTGTGAACGATTCTTCTTTCACCAATCCACATCGCGCCCAGCGTCATGTTGGCCCCAGTTGCCTTTCTGGCATCGTCTTCATCTTCTGCTGTTTGCTAGCCTGCCTGGCCTTCTCGCTCTCATTGTCAACTGTCACTTTTTATCTAAGCTCCGGGAGCTACATTACCTAGTCAACGTTGCCCTTCCTGATACCCTCCCTCCCAGCTATTCTCTCGCGGCCGCGAGCATCTCCTCCCTTCGGCCACTTAAACCGCCCCTTTCAATCCCGTTAGACGTCCTTCATCGATCAACGCGCCGTCAAGTCATCGATCGCCCTCATTGGCGCTTCGCAGCCGTTTCTCAGCCGTTGCTGGTGGCCCGCCACTACCGCACTACGAGACTCCAGAGTCTTTGTTACTCTCATCACGGCTGACTTGCTTCCTTTGTACAATTAATCCAGAAGGGAGCCATACAGTTGCTTTCTACCCCTTAAGCGCCGCCGACGGCTTCCGCGGGACGTTGCGAAACACACGGCGACGACTCCCACTCACCCAGCCGTCACATTCATCGAAGAATGAGAGAAGCTTGAACGGCGATAACTTACTCGTCAGCCAACCCTCAGCAGCAACGGGTCTGGCTGATTATCGACTCGGTCAACTCGCCATGGACTTTCTTCGACGAGGACGATCCTCGCATGGGGAGGATAGTGAGCAGCAGGCTTTGGCGGGGCCATCTACACAACCCGAGATGGAGGAGGGTTCGCGGCCTCGATCCAGACGCTTGCCTGGAACAAGACCTGCCCTCTCCTCTAGGAGGCGTCCCGGAAACGGGATGCAACGACTCGAGGACGAAGAATCTGACAGCCCCAAAACACCACGGTTCAATCTCGGCCTCCCGACGCTGCCAGGAACCCGACTGAACCTACCGCACCTCGCGAGGACATGGACCAGCGGTTCGAACGGCCCGGATTCGCGGCCCAACTCGACGTCGCAACAACCCATGAATCGAGTCGATGAGTCCCCCACCGAACCGTACATGACGAGAGTTGGAGAACCGCCAGCCACGACCCGCGTGACAATGCCCGCGCCTGTCGTACGGCGCCCCGGAACCGAAACCTCGAGCGGAACAAGGAGGTTCGCCGGGCCAGATCCCGCAGAGATGCATCTGGCGCAATTAGCACAGGAAGGTCGGCGGCGCAGACGACGGACACATCGTCGACAGCAACTTGACGACCGCAGCGAGGGGCATCCAAAACGATTTCTATTCTGCATTCCCTGGCCAAAGTCACGACGCATGCGATCTCAAATTCTCCGTTGCTTCATATCAGGCGGGTTCCTGACGCTCCTCCTCGCCGTCTGTAAGTGGTGCCCGAGCGCCCCGAGCGCTGCTTTGTAAATGTTTGGTATAACCTTGGAGACTGACCACTCAAATAGACCTGGCACTATCCCTAACACGGAGTATTCGCAGCAGCGAGTTCACGGTGTTGCTGATTCTCATTATTTTGTTCGTCACGATATTTTTCTGTCACGGCTTGATCCGGTTATGCATGCTTGTCATCCGGCCACGGCCCGATGACGAGGCCAGAACGCCGATGCCGCAACTCTTAGCACCCGGCGGCTACGCCGTGCCACGGGAACCGATCCGAGTCGTGCTGGCGCGTGATGAAGAGGAGCAAGGGGAGGTCAGCGAGGCGATCTTGGCCAAGCCGCCGGCATACGGCCTTTGGCGAGAGAGTGTGGTATGTATTCACAATCGTGATTTGCTCGTGGGACTTTTTAGACTAACGCAAGTCGCACAGAGGGTTGATCCCAATCGCATATATTGGCAACGCAATCCGAACGCTGCACCAAACGGGGGAACGCCCAGTCGAGGAGAAAGCAGCATCGGTCCTCGACCACCATCATACGCATCGGAGGACGGAGTGAGCTATGTCGTTGAAGCTCGACCCCGATCCATGGCACCGGCAGCGATGACTGACGTACCAACCTCACTGCCTCCACATCCGTCCGAAATTGGGCGGATGGGTGGACACAGGATTGCGTGGTAACGTAAACGAGAATTGCATTGTCACCGTAAAAACATGCAGGAGCGGGAAAAAAAAGCGGCCGGACTCCTCGAGCGGAGGAGCTTATTGTAGCAATGTGCTTTTGCGGCGTTGGCGTTGGCGGTGTTTTTGAGAGCATCGAGAGGATGAATCGGCGCTTTCGACTCAAGGCTATGGCGCAGAAGGTTTCAGCAGAAGGGAGGGTATGCGTTTTCTGGGAGTTGCCGCGCCGTGGTGATATTCACCACGTTCTTTTCAACGCTTACGGAGTGACAGTCTTATATACTTTGCGGGATATCTTCCCAATTGGGCTACCACGTCACCTTTGGCATCTAAAAAAGCACGGAGATGTAATATACGATGGGAGGTATGACGCGAGAGATTTTGAACAGAGTAAGATAGACTACATCTGGAAGAGAGAAGTCCATGACAACACATCTCGATCATGGTTAAGCATGATCACTGGTCACTGCGGGATGTCCTGTGAGGGCGGTTCCACAACATGGCTGGGCTTGAAATGTAGATTAGCCCGGACGAAATCCTGGACAGGCAGGCGGGTCTGGAGAAGGTTTGTTCCCAGACGGAGGGTATCAGACTGCCTCAATCGTTTGGATGCACAACATGCTAAGCCGGCAGCAAGAAGCTGAACAAAGTCCTGCATCCCGTCCTGCAGATTAACAACGACACAGTAGCGATACCCAGCTATTTGACAGCCGCCGACAACCCACCCGTCACCTCCATGTCACATCCTCACTGCAATGCCGGCTAGCCGCGCTCAGCCTAAGGCCGCTTTACTCAGACGATTAGAATGAGAGACCACGCTGTTAATGCTTCCAAAGGACGTCTGTGAGTAAACAGAAACAACTGTCCGTGATACTCCATGGGGCTGCATTGCGCAAGCTGAGAAAGCTCGGAGGAGTGATCGCATAGGTGTCCACACACTAGACTGTGATTTCCTGCTTTTCGACCCTGCAAGCCAATTGCAACACAGACACCTCTTTCTCACCTGTATTTTGCTGGTTTCCAATGGGCGGCATATTCAGGTGGGCATGCGCTGTGAGGCCTTTTGCGGCCTGCCCCGGGTGATAGTTCCCAGTTCGCTCAAGTGTATCTCTTAGCGCGCGGTGTTACGAGGGGCTGAGAGGGGGAAGGGAAAAAGAGGAGGACAGCGCGTCGTCCAGGTGACTCTGGGTGGTGAGTTGAGTGTAATGAGATACTTGGCTGCCGAGATGGATGTTTGTGCGCTCGTGTTTGTGTGCTTTGATCCAAAGGTCGAGAACATGGACCTCTAGTTCGTCAAGAGTGAAGTAATTAATGCCGGATTGTTATGTGACATTGGCCGGCTTACTCAGTCGGGAGATGACAGTACCTCAGGTACATAAGGTAACGTAGTTAGTTCAAGGAGAGGTCAAGGTTTGTGAGAAGCCCAACATGAAACTTACCTCGCGCTTCCAATTTTGGCAAGGTCTGGAGCGGCAGAAGACGAGCTGAGTAGGAAGAGTTTGAACACTGTCTGATTCAGGCTGGGTTAGTTGCAGCATGCCAAATTGGCACAGGTAAATGAGGTAGATAAAAGTGAATGATCATGAGGAACGATGATGAGAAACCCCGTTACCCTATGAAGTGTGAAGGAAGTGAGGTGAGTTGGAAGGGGTTAAGAGGTGATCGGGAGCAGGCCCCTTAACGAGCGACTTCTCGGGGTACCGCTATGAGACCTGGCCCGAGCGACGAAGGGGGGTTGTTTCTCCCCGCCCTCCACTTTTGACGATTTCTGACTGTTGACAATCGTGAGAGAAGCAACTGCCCCTCGAGGCTCTTGGTCCGCCCGCCTCCCATACATGGTCTGTGTCTCATGTGAGACAAACTGACAGCGTCCCAATCGTCGCTGGCTTCCCAATTTGACCTCCTTCTCATTCTCCCACTGAGGAGTTGCTCTCCCACTTAGGAGTTGCTCGAAGATATGCAATGTAGCTTTCACCCACATGGGCTTTGAGACTCGGGAAGGCGAGGTGTTTTATGTTTTCACCCTTCTTTGCTTTTTGTTCATATCATTTCATTGGCAGCAGGTATCGGTCATTGGCGGATGTGGGATGTGGGAGGAGCAGCGGGTGACTGAATCTGCAGGTGCAGGGCAAATGCAAGGGATGCAGTTCAAAGCAAGTGCATATCAAGCGCAACTCCTCCATGGCATCGTGATGAACCAGGTCTCCAAGTACCCGGACCGATAGAATCGGACTCGACTTGATCCCATGTTGACTCGAGTTCCATTCTTCAGGTATGTGGTTCGTCGGCCAATGCTGCTGAGAGCACCTCACTCTTAGTCTCAGAGTCCCAGAGTCCCAGAGTCCCAGAGTCCCAGAGTCCCAACCCATCATGGATATGTCATGGCCTTCAAGAGCCAGGCGACGCCGCTACGGAGAGGAAACCCTAGATGAATTGGCTGAATTGGTGCAAACGCGCTACGCCGATTTGAGGTTGATGTCCCACACGCGCCCTTTCTCGTCTCCTGTCGACTCCTCTAAATCCAGCCAGCCCGGTCCTGTCCTTTCCTTTCTCGTCAAGTTGGGGACGGGGGTTGCTTGGTTGTACCTGGAGCCCCCCCCCCCCAACGCGACTTAATCTTCCTGTTGTCAGTCAATTGTCACTCTCTCAAAGGTAAAGCATCAGAGGCCCGGAGCAGCTAAGGCAGGAGGCAAGGAGAGGAAGGGACCGAGGGAAAGAAGAAGTGAAAAGAAGCGGATACGGTGGATGAAGCACACTTCACCAAAGTAAGACGAGGTAGGTGTGCTTCGGTTGCTCTGGCATGGATGTGGCCCTCCTCTTTTGGATGTCTTGCTTCCTTGCCATGCCCCCTTCCTTCTGAGGTACCGTAGCCTTCCGGGCTTGTGTAGATGCCGTCTCTCACGCACTGGCACCAAAAAGAACCTTGTCCGGCTCGCCCTTACGGATACTCTGCGTGGTGTTTTGAAAAATTTTCGCCGACTTGAGGACCGATGGTGTTGTGGGCTAAGGTAAGTTAAGGTAGATCATCAATTGAGGTGCGACCTACGTTGTCTACCATGCTTGTATTGCATTTTTTTTCTTCGGGTACTCGTACTGCAGACGTAGACGTCGGCCTGTCTCTTCAAGCCAAGGTACTTTTACCTTGGTTGGAACTTGGAAGGACTACCGCACCTGGATCCGTACCTTCCATGGAGACTATAATTCGGAAGCACGTTTCCTCGTCTCCGGCCAGTCACTGTTTCCCACCTCAGGTCGTCCCGTTCCATTCACCCCCGCTACCGCGCCTGCCTTACCTCACTCATTCTCCCCTGCGCTTACCTCCTCCCAATTACTAGACCCCTCCTCCTCCTTCACAAATTATTATTTTCCCTCCGTTCCCGCCTTATCGACCACAAGTCCGCAACCGCATTTCTCTTCGAAACAAGTTCGAGTCCCCGATTTTCTCAAAGGCAATTTTTCGCGAATAGGTGAGTTTCGCCCTTGACCGTTCGTTTCTGCATTTGCGTCCGCATAATTCCATTCGCTCTCGCCCGCCTCCCGGTACCTTTTACCCCTCTGTCCTCTACCCGGCCCTCCCCCTCGCCCTCTGCTCCCTGCTGCCGTGTGGAGGTGGTGCCGCGACGTTTGTTCGCCTTGCCGTCGCATCAAGTGCATGCGACGACGCACCCGAAAGTCCAGCACAGCGCAGTAGTGAGTGGCAGCAGCGGCGGCGGCGGCCGTTTCTAGTCCAGCCGCGCCAGCAGCACCAATATTTGCACCAGCACCGGCGTCAGCGTCAGCATCGGCATCGACATCGGCACACACTTGGCTTGCACCGCAACGCAGCACAAACCAGCGAGCGCAACTTAAAACATTTGGCCTTCCGTCCCTTTCAAGTCGGACACGGAGGCTGTCTCGCAATTGCCATTATCGCAGTCAGACTCATCCGCGCAACGCGACCGGCTTCGATGATGCGCCAAATCCGCCTACTGTTGGCTCGGCTGCAATTCCGCACTCCAGCGCCGAGTTTCGCGCATCGCAGTCGTGTGCCCTATCGCGAACACAATGCAGCGACTCAATTTAGCCCACCAATTCCAATTTTACCCGCAGCCGCATCTACCTGCCGCATTCCACGTCGATCCGGTCACAGAATCTCGGCCCTCCATCAGTGTTGAACCCGGAGTTGCACAAATGCGCCGTCTCGCTTGCTGCCTTCCCCGCAACCTCGGTCCCGCGCGCTTGCTCTCGAGTCGATGCGCCGCTCTCTGAAAAGCCCTTGGTGGATCGTCTACGATTGATAATCCCTCACCCAAACTCGGGTTGCCCGCCACCACGTCAAGAGACGGATCCCATACATCGCGGCTCTTTAAGCATCTATCTACCAAGGAGGACAATCAGAAACTACACCATGCGCAGTTTGGCATACACGATGAGACGCTCCCTGTGCCGGGAAGGTCGCGCTGAGCTGGATCGAGCCGCTTGCGCCTCTAACTCAGAAACGTTCGGCTCTACGAAATTGGACAACTGATGCTGCTGCTGCTTGCGACACTATGTTTTGGAATGCGACTCGGAGACTCTGCGATTTTTTTTGCTGGACCGTAAAGGCTCCGAAAGATATGACGACTTCGTTCATCTATTAACGTTGTGACTAACATGCCGAATCGCAGTCACACATTATCGAAATGTCTTCCCTCTCTCGTCGCGCCTGCTATAAGTGTGGCAATGTTGGCCACTATGCCGAGGTTTGCTCTTCCGCCGAGCGCCTCTGCTACAACTGTGAGTCGCTTGCCACTCTATGCCTCGCCAGGCGGACCATTAATTTCGGTTTGTAGGCAAGCAACCAGGCCACGAGTCCAACGGCTGCCCCTTGCCCCGCACCACCGAGGCTAAGCAGTGCTATCACTGCCAGGGCCTTGGCCATGTCCAGGCCGACTGCCCTACCCTGCGCCTGAGCGGTGCTGGCACGAGTGGCCGCTGCTACAACTGCGGACAGCCCGGTCATCTTGCGGTAAGAAACCTCGGCTTCTTGGAAACTGATGCTCAGATTGTTGACGTACGAGAAGCGCGCCTGCCCTAACCCCGCCGGCGTCAACATGGGCCGTGGTGGCCCCCCGGTTCCCCGTGGTGGGTACGGTGGCTACGGCCGCGGTGGTTTCGCTGGTGGCCCCCGCCCTGCTACCTGCTACAAGTGCGGTGGCCCCAACCATTTTGCGAGAGACTGCCAGGCTCAGGCCATGAAGTGCTACGCTTGCGGTAAGCTTGGTCACATCTCCCGCGACTGCACCGCTCCCAACGGTGGCCCTCTCAACACTGCTGGCAAGACCTGCTACCAGTGCGGCGAAGCTGGCCATATCTCCCGCGATTGCCCCCAGAAGAACGCCAACGGCGAGATCCCCAACGACGTTGATTTGTCGGCTGCTCCTGGCATCCCTCAGCCTGCTGTTGCGCCCATTGCCCCTGTTGCTTAGACGGCGATCGTTGGTCATGTTCCCTTCAGGATGTTGCAACTTTTTGGTCTAGGCCAACAGGAATCGGCTGCCCGCCACTGTGCAGCTCCCGTCTCGTAACCTTTGCGGTGTTTCTTGAGCAATACCGCTTTCAATTATCTACAGTACGACCAATCATTCACGCCTTCTGAACATCACCTCTATTGCACCTTCCCCTTTTCATTCTGGTTATTATTTCAATCTATGCATAAAATGGGCATGTCGCCAAATGGCATCCTTTGCTTTACATGGCGTCTACACGGATTCCCCTTCATCAACACGATTCATTTTCTGGAACAAAACGGGAAAGGCTTCCTTTCTTCATAGCAAACGACTCTCACGACGGATGGTCTCAAGCATGTTTGAATGCATCTTTATTCAACGCAGTTGGAAACAAAAGTTCGCGACCTTCACAGCCATCTTATGGAGAATTTTTTGGCTCGACACTCCTGCTTTCGGCTCAATACCCCAACGAGGAGGTGACTCCGTTCCATGCGTATCTTCCTCCATCCACGATTGAGCTCAGACAACGATGGCAAGAAGAGTATTCCGCAGTACACAGCGAAATCAAGGCCGCTTGCGGCTGAGGATTTGAACTACCTCTATGTGCCTGTCAGCGATGACCCGAGTTGACAGTCGTTTCTGACCAGGGACCACTGCTGACACAGCATATCGGGTTGGGGAAGATTCTTGGGATGGAAGGCGGGGCTCGGGGAGGGGGATAAGAGATCCAAGTATCGAATGAAGAAGAAGAGTTTTGGGGCGGTGGAAGTGGTTGTTGAGTAGAAGATCCCTTCGAAGGGAGAAATGGTGGGCACCCCGGCAAAGCTGTTGTGGCGTGACGCACAAAAAAAAGAAGCTGTTGTTGTTTAAGCTGTCCGAGTCCCTTCCGGGGTATGGCGCAGTTGTGATGGGTGATTTGAACCGGATGATGTACAAGGGATGCCGCTGGACGGTGGGCGGTGGATCGTCTTTGGGAACCCATTCCGGAGCATCAAGATTACAGGAGCAGGGTACGCCAGCTGTTACGACTAACGACGGTTGATTTTATCACGGAGTTTGGAGGTGAACTTCTCCGAGCAGACATGACCGAAACCGAGAAGGACAATAGGAGATAGTCCGAGGCTGGAGATTAGGCCTGATACAGTCGGCATTTATACGAGAGGATGCGAAGCTGCGGTGAAGCGATCGGCATCAGACGATTCGGCGTTCCGAGTAGTCACACGCGGTCAAGCTTGGCCCACGTTTTGAAGGACGACACTGCATGACGCGACTGGCTCGTGTTCTTGGGTGTCGCATATGAAGGAGCCCTGGATGCGGCAGCAAATAGATCAGAGATTGTAGGTAGGCACCAGTGCACACGGAGTTAAGTGGGTACCGACGGCACGGCGAAAGCTCTGACCATCCGTCCCGGCATCCTTTGTGGGAAGGTTTAACCGGACCTCAGCGTTCACCCTCTTGTCTTCCTCATGCCGGTAGGTCGTCCGGCCATCCTGCATGTGGACATGCGTATCCCACGGGCATAATCGAGGATTCTGGGCCACGTGTACCATGTCAGGCCACGCTTAGTCGCGCGCATTGTGTGCGGGTGTCGAAACTTTGCCAACCCGGCCAACCCGGCCAGCCTCATCGTAAGTGCGCTCGCTACTCGAATCCCAAGGCCAGCCATGCCACGGCTGCAGTTTGCGAAGCGGGGTAACAGCCAGCGGCCAGCCCTGCCAGCCTGCTCCAAGCGCTGATTTTGCAATGTAACCTCACGTATGAGGTGGTCTTGCATGCAGCAGTCTGCATCGCCTACGCCATCTCAAGCAAGGACACACTGCCGTCATCGTCGAGCTGCAGCCTGATAGGTACTCACGAGACAGTAAGCGTGTCCATCCACCCATCTAAATCTACCTATTTGTTCGCCGTCTCACTTCTGCCTGAGTGATAGACATGTCACGGGTGTCGCACAACCATGCTGTCCCACTGTAGAAGCTTCCCGAACGGCTGGGTCGCCCGATGATCAACGGGGCTCACTTCAGAGCTGCCACCAAACGTCCATGCATCAGGCTGTCTTGTTGTAACTGGGACGCAGAGCCTCATCACACAGGTTTGGCGTGCGAGGCAACGGGCTCCCACCCAGATACATAAGCCGCCGCTTGCAGCTAGCCTTGGGGTGCTGTCCCCTCCCACAATTCACTGTTTGATCTTACCTGTGTAGGTGGTTCTCGTGGGCTCTTTCTCTCCTACCTCCAAGAATCAGAACTGGCTAAGTAAACCTGCCCACGGCTCAATCGTCTGCTACTTTGGACCGCACCTGACGGGGTAACACAAGCCGAGCGCCTCACCTAAGGCTGCTAGCGTTGACCAGCTGAACGAGTGTAGGAAAGCGCGAGAATCTTCGCGATCACCACCTTCTACCTTCACTACTAGGCAACTCCTGGAAAAATCTGAGGGCGCAATGGCCTACAGTATAACCTCGGGCTCCAGCTCGAGTTCCGACGAGATTGTATCGTCGATGAACCCCCACCCGCGACGTCGAGCATACTTAGCTACTATGCCTGTAACCGTCACCAAGCCCCGTAAGCCAAGGCAACAGCCTCCTCAGGAAATCATTGACGAGTTCTGGACGAAGTTTACGACCAAAACTCCGGGCAAAGGTCAGTCGCCTGCGGAGGGTCGCATTGGATCGGTTCGAGGCTGACTTGAATGTGTTGGACACCAACAGCTACCACTGTCATTCCCCAGAACGCGTACGCTGAGGGGGTTGCAAAGCGATCTTCCAAAGCCACAGGAATCTTCACCCAGACGTCGTACGATGAGGCTGCGACTGTCTGCAAAGCCAAGGTTGACAAGATCGTTCATGAGTGTCGCCGAGTAAACCAGCGTTACAGAGACCCTCACTATGATATTGAGTTTGACTTGAAATTCGGGCGTAGAGACTGCCTCGAATCATTGTGGAATACGAAGGACACGAAACCCCCGCAGTCCTCTTTTCAGCCAAAGGCTGTCAAGCGAGTGGTCGATATCTTCGACAACCCGCAGTTCTACATTGACGGGCCGACAGCTGATGATGTGCGCCAAGGTCGAGATGGAGACTGTTGGCTTATGGCTGCGCTGTGCAATCTGAGTAACAAGCCTGGTCTGATTGAAAAGGTTTGCGTTGCACATAATCTAGAAGTCGGCGTCTACGGCTTTGTCTTCCATCGCGACGGGGAGTGGTTCAGCGAAATCATTGACGACAAGGTATGTCCCATTGTTTATCTTGCAACAAGAATCGGCAAGGCTTGGATTACTGCGACATCAGCATCTCGCAAAGCCCCGAAGCTCTTTCTAACTGGCCGCACAGCTGTACCTCACCAAACCCGACTATGATGAGCCCTACTTGGAGCGAATTCTTTGGGAAGATCGAGAGCGTATCAATTCGGAAGAAGCCTACAGGCGCATCTATCAGTCAAACAGTGGCGCGCTTTACTTCGCCCAGTGCGAGAATCCTAACGAAACGTGGCTGCCGCTTCTCGAGAAAGCTTACGCAAAGGCTCATGGAGATTATGCTTCCATTGAAGGCGGATTTACAGGCGAGGCCATTGAGGACCTTACTGGTGGCGTAACCTCAGAGGTCTACACGACAGACATTCTTGACAAGGAATATTTTTGGAAAGAGAAACTCCTAAAGGTCAACGAAGACTGGCTTCTGGGTTGCTCTACCGGATTCGCATCAAGAGGCCTGGGAGAACGTAAGGGCATCATCGAGATGCATGCTTACAGTGTTATGAAGGCAGTTGAGATGGACGATCAAAGACTCGTTCTGCTCAAGAATCCCTGGGGAAAAGGCGAATGGAAAGGAGCTTGGAGTGAGTTTTCATATTCGAGTCCCAACTTCAGACCGTTCTCGTGCTGATTAGAAGCAGGCGATGGCTCCAAGGAATGGACTCCTGAGTGGTTGCAGAAACTCAAACATACCTTTGGCGACGATGGCGCCTTCTGGATTTCTTACCACGATCTCCTCAAAAAGTACAACATTTTCGACGTTACACGTTTATTTGGTTCCGAATGGAAGGTAATATCCATTTGGACAACGCTATCGGTGCCCTGGACTCTGGACTACCACGAGACATATTTCGCCTTTACAATTTCCAAGTCGGGTCCCGTTGTGATTGTACTGGCACAGTTGGACGATCGATACTTCCGTGGGCTTGAAGGCCAATACCGGTTTGATTTGCAATTCCGTCTGCACAAAGCCGGCCAAGAGGACTACGTCGTTCGGAGTCAAGCATCCTACCGCATGAACCGATCCGTGAATGTTGAACTTGACCTCGAAACAGGCAGCTACGAAGTTCTCGTCAAGCTGGATGCGGTTCGAAATGACAGTGTTCTTCCCATCGATCAAGTGATTCGGAATAATGCCAAGGGCCGTCGAGAGAAACTGATCCGAATAGGGTTGGCCTACGACCTTGCTCATAGCAAGGGGAAACTTGTTGAGTCACCTGCAGAGAAGTCAGCCAAGGAGGCATACGAGAAGAGGCAGCGAGAAAAGCGACGTGCCGATATCAAACGCAAGATACTCAAAGAGCGAGAACAAGAGCATTACCTCAGAATCAAAGCCAGGAAGAAGAGCCAAAAACAATTAGCAAAGCGCATTGCACAACACCAGGCCATAAAGGAGAAGCTCCGTGCACACAAAAGGCCAACCCATCCCCCTTCGCCAAAGCAATCTGCTACCAGCGAGTCACACTCGGTTCCAGAACCACCAAACCCTGTGGCCAAAGTCAAGATCCAGGAAGATGAACCTAGATCTCTCGAGATTGCAACCAAAAATTTGTCCTTGTCAAGCGATGTCCGTGGACAAACCAATGCAGGGGTCGCAGTCACTGAGGAAACACCGGTTTCTCCCCACCACAAAGTAGGAGCGATACCGCATGTCTATAAGCAGGCTGCATTGCTCGAACAAGATATCGAGAGGCGCCCGGAAATTTTGACGCCCCTCAAGTCTGCGAACAAGATATACAGAGGCGATAGACGCGAGGTAGTCAGCGTCAAGAGCGAGGTGCTGGATGCTACCCTTCAAGATGGGGAAGAGGCGATGAGCGAAGCAGCACCTCCATCAGAGTATTCCGTACCTTACCCATGCGAGTCAGACGACGATGGCATCGCAAGCATATCATCCCTGTCAGAGCTTTCCGAGCGGGAGCTGGAGCTTGAAATTGACGCCATTGAAAAACGGGAGCACAGCACAGATCGCACGCCGCCGCAGCTCGCCTCTGGAGCGCCTGCCGATGAACAAGACGAGTTTGAGAGAGATCCATGGAACGCTGTGGCCGTAGTAGGACTCCGAGTATACTCCAAGGTATCAGTTGAAGATCAAGAGGAGGTTATTGTCAACCTTCGGGTCATGCGGCCAAGCCTATATCCCAAAGAGGAGGCAACCCCACAAACCTCAGAGCCGGGTGACAAGAAGTCAAAAGGTCTGGATGTGGATGACAGCGCCAAAGACGCCACGCTTGAGGGAGAAATTATCCAGAGAAAGAAGAGTATCCGGCCTCCTAGTGAGGATCTCAGCGATGCTTCAAAGCTGGCTCGCTCTGATGGTGGCAGAGAAAGACGGGCCATTCCAGGTGTTGATTCTTTGGGAGGCGCACTCGACTTCCAAGCTTGACATGCGCCTCAAGATGGACTTGCTGGGACAAAAAGAAAGAAGAGTTTTTCATAATGCTGGGGGTATCGTCAAAACCTAGAACCTAACGCCACTATCCCACTCCAATACAGAATCTATTGTCCTAGACGAGGAAAACCATCATTGCTTGGCCACAGATACTCTCTCGATACTAACTTGGACCTCTGGATGGCCCATCAGAAACTATCGAGAAGATCGTCTAGTTTGCGCTTCTCTCCCGTGGCGACAGGCTCTACGATCAAAGAGTCGGCCTCTTTTCGTTGGTTCGTAGACTCGGTGGACTCAGGCAAAAGGCCCACACGACCACCTACACGGGCCAGCAGGACGCGCATCTTTTCCATCTCTTTTTCTACCTCGCCATCGCGGGTAACAAGGTTCTCCTGTACACCCGCGCCGGCATCTTCGATGCGGAAGGGATCAAGTAGGGCCTTCATGCGCCGTAGCCGCTCAACACGGGCTTTGACCCGCTGCCTCTGCTCGGCGAGCGTCTTTAGGCGGCCAGCGAGTTCGGCGTACCGTTTGACTTCCATAGGAAAGGTAGTCGCATCACGCTCGGCTGGCCATGTCAAGGGAAGCAACCTAACGGCATTCTCTTCAGCTTTGGAGATCCTCCATTAGTCTTGGCACAACATATGTTTAGTCGAGGAGGTGCTAATGCGGAATCACAACATACACAGGTCCAAGGAGAGAGAGAGACCCTCAGCGGAGTCATTTTGTGCCGCTGACAGTTGAGAAAGATACAACGCGTCGATCTGCTCGGCGACGTGACGACTCGCTTGGTGAGAGTAGGCGCGTCGCGAATGCTGCAGTAAGGCCGCGTTGAGGCGGACGGCGACGTGCTCGACAACCGGGTCCGGGATGGGGGCCTCGGCGGCCTCGTTCGCAGCGAGCCAGGTGCGCGATGGGTGCAGGGGTTGGGAGAGGAGACGAGCCTGGGTGGCTAGGAAGGATTGTTTTTGGGCGATGACAGTGGGCGGAGGGGCTTGGGCCATCTTGAGGCACAGCTCTCAAAGTCGGCAGAAAACGGCTGGCCTTGTGTCGCGTACAATGCGCGTTTGGCAGGAGCTTATTCGGATGCTTGGATCTCTGAGATGGAACGTGAGCCGATTGAGGACGGAGACGCGGCCGGGACGGCAACGCGCAAGTCGACGCATGAAGTGCTGGGCGGCGGGCGGAGTGGAGACTGGGCGAACCAGGAAGGTGGTACCTGGGGGGGTACGTACCTCTGGCGCCACCTCTGCCACCTCTGCCACCTCTCTTCCTCCCTTTTTTTTTTGGTTCCCGAGAATATTACGGATAATTCCCCATTCGTATCTTCGGTCACCTCGCTGGCATGCGCACCGCACCCATACCTACCTACCTATCTCGATCGACCAGGCACTAGCGAGGAAGAATTGGATGCCACGATGGCACGATGGTAAGGAGAAAGAGCAGAAGCCTCGGCCATTGGCCACTTCATATTTTCTTTTTCTGCGAAAAAATTGTTTCCCCCCCTCTTGCTAAACTCCTCACTCCACGTCAAAGCTCCAGTTCCAACTTCCCAACGCCTATCAACGGTCTAGGCTGGGTCCGGTCCACCAAAAGAAGCGGGAAAATACCCGAATAGACTCCTTGCGTGGTCGTTCCCGATGGAACTTCAAACCGCCATCTCACTGCCTAGCAGCCAAACCAAGGTGGCCCAGCAGACGACGGCGGACGGCGAACCTCGCTTCTTCGGGTCTGCGGCTGCGTAATATCCCATGCCATCCCATCGCCTTGGCTAAGTACTTATTCGAAATATGTCTAAGCTCAGCGGGGAGACGCCGGCAGTAGCATCGTAGCTTGAGGCACGCAACGGGTGATGGCGCAAGGCGAGACGAGTAGCCATCAGAAGCGCGGTCCGTTGCTCGCAGCGCAGACCACCAGACCTTCCTGCAACAGCAGCAGCCACCGACTTCTTCCTCTGCGGTCCTGCGATGGATGTGACGAGCCTCGACAAGGCACAGGCCACAGGCGAGGTGACTTGGTGCGCCCCGTAGCGGTGTGCCTCTCTCTTACCCGGCCCCGCCCTCCGTATCGGCACTAATGCGGCCCGCCTGCATTCGATCCCTCCCGTACGGCCGCATAGCCTGGCGTTCGGCACACACGCACGCACAACACCGGCCAACCTGCAAGTCAGGTCTTTTCCCACCCGCCAAGAGGCACCGTGAGATGGGCACAAGGCTGATTGTGATTGCGAGAGGTGTCGCGAGGTCGACCCTATTCCGTCCCCTTGCCTTCAGTGACCCTCTTTGCCGCTGGCTGTTAGCTTTACCGGTGGGCTTATTAGTTCAGGTCCCATAACGCCTTCCCGGGCGCCACCTGCCACCTCTCTAGGGGGCCCCATGCTTAGAGCCTCTGACATCTAGCCGCCCACCGAGGAGCAGCCCCCATCACAAGTCTAGAAACATGCTCTAGTCCTCAAGGGGCCATCTATTTCCACCTACTCGGCCGAGGGAGATGTGTTGCGCAACGTCTCGAGGCGGAAGTCCTTTCCAAAGTCCAAACTAAGCTGTCATGGTGCCATGCAGCTCGTGAGACATGGCTTCGGTGCGCTGTCAAAACGGCCAATCCTACGTGCCCAGCTTCCATGATGCGCTTTTTACGGGAGATCCGGTGGTCGATATGTCCCAAGCTCTGCCCTGCCCTACCCTGCTTAGTGCGTCGTGGACAACAGAGTGAAGCCATCGCCCCTCTTGCTGCTGTTTCTCCTTGGCCCCTACCTTAGACAAAAGCCGACCGTCCCTTAGGATGTTTGTTCAAGATCCTGGACATTGTTCAAAACCCAGATTTGTCTTTCCAACATATATGACGAAGGTCCTCCCTCCCCTCTCTGGAGTCTACCTCGCAGGCTCATTCATGACTGTGCAACTCATCTCCCCCGTTCTTCAACAGACAGAAGCAAGCGAGTAAAGTGGCGGCGCTGTCTCACTTCAGCTCAGGCCGATCTTGCGTGGTCTCAACCTCATTCCCTTCCCGACCGTTCCCGAAAGGCACCTCCCAGCATGCCTTCCGCTTCCCCTCCTTGCCCAAAACCTCCTGCCAACGGCTTCGTCGCCCTCGCGCGCAAAGTCTATCACCCCATCGGATTCAAAAAGGGGTACAACTTCACCCTCTTTGTCATCACGGCGGGCGGTATGATGGGTTTTTCCCTCGCCCGCATGATGTACTTCAACTTCAACGGCGTCTTCTGCGACCCGGACCACAACTCACGCGCGCTTCCGGGAGAGTGCTACTATTTTCAAAAAGGTACCGCACGGGTCGGTATCATCATGCACCTTGCAGGTATTATACCGGCTGGGTTTCTCGCATGTCTGCAGTTCATCCCCTTTCTCCGCCGTAGGGCCATCTTATTCCATCGTCTCAACGGATACCTCGTGGTTCTCCTGAGTATCGTGGGCATCATTGGCGTCTTCCTCATTGCACGCCGGACGTTTGGCGGTGGTGTGAGCATGCAGACTGTTTCGGGCACCGGCAGCCTCATGTTCCTCGGCGCCCTGGCCCTTGCAATCTACAATATCAAAAAGCTCCAGATCGAGCAGCACCGGGCATGGATGCTCAGAGCCTGGGTATACGTAAGATAGCTCCCACCCAGTACCATCACTTTTTACGCGCGCATCGGGACTAACGAGTTGCTCCCCTCCACAGGCCGGCTTCATCATCACCATGCGCATCATCGGCTACCTCGCTGCCATGATCACAGCCGAGTCAAATTACTACCAAGTCAAACAGTGCGCTATGGTGGATTTCATCTTTCGCCATGACCAGAACATGGTTCTCGGCCTCTATCCTGGCTGCGACGGCTACTACTCGGGAGAGAATCCTGGTCTCAGCGTTCTTGTTCATGCCAGCATCACTGCTCACCAACCGGCCGAGATTTCAGCCGGGTTTACGGCCGTCTTTGATTCGGGATCATGGCTGGCTTTGGCGATCCACGCCATACTCATTGAGCTTTACGTATGTTGGGCCCCTATCTTCCTCTAAAGTCCCTTGTTTTGTCATTTCTGTATCGCCCGTCAAGTCCGAAAGACATGGGGACTGACGAGCCAAACAGCTTCATTTGACACCTGCAGAAGCAGAACGCCTCCGTCGCATTTCGTACCAGCGCCAGCTCGAATCCGGTATGAAAAATGCTGGCAATGCGGGCACGACTGCCCAAAGACTGGGTGATGCTGAGCCCTGGCTGCCCCCGACTGATTCACAACAGACCGAATGTAGTATACTGCCGAGCTCCGATGAGGATGTTAAGGAGAAGAGTGTAAGCGCGGCGTAGATTTACTGGTTATCAATTGGCGGGGTTACATGATTTCAGACTTTCCTTTAACATATCGCCTAGAATCGCGTCTGATGATTATGAATGCACGATAGGTACGACACAGCATGGCTTGACATAGATGTATAGAAGTATTTTTATCTTTACCAAAAAAGGACGTTTCCGGACGGGCCACGAAGCATGTCGTCATGCATAAATATCATTCATTCATTCATTCTTGCAACCCATAACAGATCTCCCCAAACACGCTCTGCTTGGCATCATGGCATGTAAAGCCTTTACAGGCCAGACCACCAGTATGTCTCGCTGACCTTGAAACTGCCCTTGAGAGCCTTGTCCGTAATGACACTGCTGTCACTGACAATAACCTCGTATTCGCCTTCCTCGGCGCACCACTGGTGCCGCTCCTCGTCAAAGTAGCTGGCGGCGTACTTGGTCTCAATGTCGACAGTGACCTGCTTACTCTCGCCAGGCGCAAGCGACACCTTGGCGAAGCCCTTGAGCTCCTTGAGCGGCCGGTTGATCTTGGCCTTCTGCTTGGGTGCGACGTACACTTGGACAACGTCGGCGCCGGCAACTTTGCCCGTGTTCTTGACCGTAACGTCGACGGCGAGCTTGCCATCTGCATCACGGACCTTGATGCCTTCGAAGCCAAACGATGTGTACGACAGGCCATGACCGAAGGGGAAGAGCACGGGGCGGTCAACGAACTCGTAGTAACGGTAGCCGATGTAGACGTCCTCGCCGTACAACGTGCGGCTGGCCTCGGCGCGGTAGTTGAGGTAGGCCGGGTTGTCCTGGACGCGCTCCGGGAAGCTGAGCGAGAGCTTCGCCGAGGGGTTGACGTCGCCAAAAAGCACGTCGGCGATGGCATTGCCTGTCTCGTTGCCGCCGTACCACGCCTGGACGAGCGCCTTGACGTCCTTGACCCACGGCATGCGTACCGGGGTGCCGGACTGGTTGACGACGACCGTATTCGGGTTCGCCTGAGCGACAGCGGAGATGAGCTTGTTGAGGTATCCAGGCAGATCCATGTCGGCGCGGTCGTTGCCCTCCGTCTCCCAGTCAGCGTTGAGGCCGGAGCAGACAATGACCTGATCGGCTTCCCTGGCGAGAGCGGCGGCCTTTTCAATCTCGGCCTTGTCGTCGATTACCTTGCATCCTCCCATGCGGAGGGCACCACCACCGAAAACGATGTTGTCGCCTTGCAGCTTGGACGATGGGGCGGAGCCAAACTCAACCTTGAAGGCGTACTTCTGGCCCTTCTTGAGCTCGACGCGACCCTTCTCTTCGACGGTGGCCGCGCCGAAAAAGGCGTCGCCCTGGCGCTGCTTGGTGGCGTTGTCGATGACGAGTTTGTCATTGACAAAGAGGTTGGCCGTGCCGCAGACGATGAGACCGAGCTCGTAGGTGCAGTCCTCCTCGGCGATAAAGGAGCCCTCAAAGTCGGCGTACCAGAGATCGGACTTGAGCTTCGGGTTGTAGTAGTCGACGAGGAGCAACTCCGTCTTGGTGAGGACGAGCTCGTCAATGGCCTCGCGGCTGTGGTCCGTGGGGGGTTCGTTGTAGGCGCGCATGGTCATGCCGGGCTTGCCGTCGGCTGAAATGCAGACATTGCCGAGAAGGGGCAGGAGCTTGTGGGAATACGCGCCTTCCGTGTACTCTGGTGGCGAGGTGAGCTTCTTGCTGATGCCGTCGAAGGGGGTGACAGCGTAGTAGGCAGCCAGGGACGCAGAGCCACCTCCGTGATAGGTGGAGATCTTGGCGTTGGGGCCAATGACGACCGTCTGAAGGTCTCAATGTCAGTGTATGCTTTCGGGGGAGACCTATTTACTCGGAGTATGCTTACCTTCTTATCCTTCTTCAGGGGTAGCACGTTGTCATCGTTCTTGAGGAGGACAATACTCTCGCCACCAATGCGCCTCAACAATTCAGCGGTCTCTGGAGTGTCACCCGTCTTCTCAGGGGCGCCCTCGGGAATGCCGGTCGCCACGGCCTTCTTGATGAACTTGAGCATAGCGCGAGCTCTCTCATCGAGTACGTGCTGGCGAACCTTATCCGTAGACACGTTAAACTTTAGGGGCTCTCCGCGGAAACGAGGGGGTCCGGGCATCTCGAGGTCGAGACCGGCGTTGGCCGCTTCCGTGGTGCTGTAAGTCCCGTACCAGTCGCTCATGATCATGCCGTCCCAGCCCCACTCTTTGCGAACCAGCTTCTCCAGCAAGTCGTGGTTCTCACTGCAGAATGTACCATTGACGCCGTTGTATGCCGTCATCAGGGCCCCTGGTGTGGCGTCACGGAAGGTCAGCTGGAAAGGGAGCGCGTAGATCTCGCGCAGAGCGCGCTCTGTTACGATGCTCTGAACGGCGTTGCGCCTATGCTCCTGGTCGTTACACACGAAATGCTTAGGCGTCGCCTGAATGCCGGTGCTTTCGATACCTCTCACGATGGCAGCGGAGCCGAGACCAGCTAGCACTGGGTCTTCGCCAATGGATTCGAATCCTCGGCCACCGAGAGGGGATCGCTGCATGTTGATGGTAGGGCCCAAGATGCAGTGTGCTCCCTTGAGCTTGGCTTCCTCGCCCATCTTCCTACCGGCCTCCTCAAGGAGCTCGGTGTTGAAGGTGGCACCGAGAGCCGTTCCGCAAGGAAAGCAAGCCGCCTTGATACCGTTGAAGAATTTGGTGCCGCGTACTCCATTGGGTCCGTCAGAGAGTCTAATGGAGGGAATATTGTGCTTGGGCAGGGCCTTGGTATGCCAGAAGTCGATGCCTGGGGAGAAGCGACTGTCAGCTTGCCATTTGCCCACATTGAAACTCGTGATTTAGGTTTCACCGGCGGGATGAAAATGAAGGGTGTCCCCGGAAGCGAGGCAGAAGCAGCCTTACCGGCGAGAAGATCAACTTTCTCAGAGACGGTGAGCTTCTTGAGCACGTCTTCTACGTCAAAGTCGGCCATTGTGAGCTTGAGAAACGTTGGGCACTGGGAATGTAGAGGGTATCTAAAGAAGCGACTTCAACCAGACTAGATACCGGGTTCAAACTTGGACTGGCAGCAAAGAGGAACAGACAAGAAAAGGTGAGGATGCAAAGCGCCGAGGGTCGAAAGGAGGGAGATTAGGATTGTCTTTGCCGCAGGGTCACGCTGTTAAATAGAAGAGTGACGAGCTTTTGGAAGGCGGGACAACTCCGGACGATGCGGGACTGTAATTCCTCTTTTGCCTTACCTTACCTCAAGGTACATTAGCTCGGGAGGAGGCCAGTGGTTAACCCACTTCCAGATCCCGCATGTTTCTGCGTGACGAGCTAAGTAAATGGAGGAATTTACACCAGTGCCCGGAGACGACGGGGGAAATGGCAGGCAATCAAGGGTATGTTTGCATGCAGCATCCTAACGTTAGCAACTTAGCAGCGGTTGTTTCTCTCTCGTCATGTTGCCCCTCCACGCTAGTCCAGCCGAGGAGCAGAAAGGTGGATAGGTTTCCCCCAATTACCAATATGAACGAACGGAGGCACGAAGGAATGCTGAGCAGAGTTGTCGGAAACCCAAGACCTTGAAAGACGCGGTCAGGTGCGTCAATGGCGACCACCCCTCCGGTAGCGCATTTCTACCCCACGTTTGTCACGTTAAGGTAGGCTGTGGGAGCTTGTTGCCCCCTCCTTCACGGGAGAAGCTCGGATGGCTATCACCTTTAGCGTTGTTTCTCCAATTTTGAGACCCATCTATCGGCTCCGGATTGGCTCATTCAAGTTGGAGGCGAAGCTGAACATCGTCCCGAATTCCCGTCAGACGTGTTTGGCGTGGAGACAGCCGGGTGGGTGTTTCAGTTTTGCCGGAGACTAACCGGCGATTTTGCGATGTTCCCACGGAGTTCTGCCATTGTTGGGAACAGTGTCAACTGTGCTATGTCGACTGTGACAATTCCCCCTGTCGAACCGATGCAGAAATTGGGTCCGGCGAAGAAAGCGGAGCCACTTGTTTGTGATGCTGATGCCGATACTCCCCGGGCCGCGGATAGGCCACAACCAAGCGAAAGCACCCTTCGTAAACCCCCGACGGTAGGTTTTAAGTCAGACCACAGTCCTGTCATTGGGTGACTGGTCAGGTGCTTGTGAGATGGAACGCTGACGATCGTCATTCACCAGGACACAGTTAAAAAATGGTGTCTGTCGTGTTCGCAACGATTGGAGGCTGCGAAAGCCGGGCCGCCTCACTCTCACTGGAGTGGGAAGACTCTAGGTGTTGCACATACCCGAAGAAGGGTGTCCTTTGTCATCTTCTCCCTGTCATCATCTCCGAGCTGCCGTGTTCCCGCGCGAGACTCCCGAGCCAGGGGAACACGGGATCGCTGAACCTGAAGAACACCCCGTACTTGCTTTACACGGATGAGAAGACGGCCCGGATGTCTGAGCTGCATCGCCGGATGAGACTCCGTCACCTGGCAGCTCCGGAAAGCCGGTCCACGTAGTCATGCCGTGGCTCAAAATCCATCCCAACGGGCCGAGTCACCACATCCGGCCAAGCTGTTCCGGTGTCATGGCTCTGTCCCAGTAACCATCACGCGGGTGATTGTTTTTCCCCAGCTTCCCCAGATGTTCCCTTCATCAACAAGCTGCGCTACATCTCTATACTACGATCCCGAAACTCGCTCGAGGATCCATCATCTCCATCTCGTTTAGCGGCTGTAAACTGGGCATCACATATATGGTCAAGACCAACATTCAGCGACGTCCGCCTCACTCCTCAATCGGGCTCCTAAAAGGGGCTTCTCTCACCGAGACAAGTAGCGGGAGGCCATGCAGTCACCCGCTCATCCGGCTTGGACCCCGAGGCGGGGTGGTCCAAATGTACCACAAGCTTGCGTCTGACGTCCAACACGGTGCTGATTCGTTCTTGTAGATGTCCATGTCCACAATCCTGTCCCTGACGAAGGTCCACTCGGCAGGCTGGAATGGGAACGGACCACATGCTCGCGAGATGGGTCTCGGCAGCTGTGACAT